AGTGCATGACAAGCTGTGTAGGAACTTTAATTTTTATAAATTCTGGCCGACATACATATTGCAAACATTAAAAAGTAGTAATTTAATTTATAAAATTAATGTAATCTGTGAGAAAATAAAGTATGTTGTTGTTGTTGTTGTTGTTGTTGTTGTTGTTGTTGTTGTTGTAGGAGGTTAGGGTGGAGCTGCTTCCTTGATGGGTTTCCAAATTGTTGAAAAGAGACTCAACTCGATCTGGAGGCTAAAGCTTTCAGCAACTCTATATTCATCCATTGGGGATGTGTGACCACTGTCTTGATGTACACATGAATAGTTTGCTGTTTCAAAACTACTGAGTAAAATCACTTGATTGTTATTTGTAGGGATGGACATCACTTCCTGCATTTGTTTGCTCTTTGTTCTTAAAACTATATGTTTATTATCATACATAGCATTTAAAAAATATATATAACAAAATTCTGCATTCAGGGCTTGACACTAATGGTAGCTAGCCAACTCGCCACAGACTAGTAGAAATTTAGTTTTGGCTAGTAGGTTTTTGACTTCCATTAGCCACTTTGGCTAGTAGACAAAGTGAAATTGGCCAAACTAAAACTGTCTCCCTCAAGGAACACAAATGCAAACACTTTTCTTGGAAACAAGGTCAGAATTTCATTACCATATCATGTTTATACTGGGCAATGCAAATTTAAGTTTGTTTACTCTTTGCTGTGTGGTACGTAAATGGGTAACTGAACATGTTATTATGTTGAAACAAATATTAATTTTGACAAACAAGACAGCATTTTCTGAAAGCACACATCGATGTTCTTTTTTTGTTACAAACTAAGTAGAACAAAACACGAGCTTCCTGATAGGATCATGCACAAAATTGACAGCTTTAAATTCCAGAGGAAAACAGTCAAAAAATTAGTCATTGCAGTACACGTTCTCCAAAATACGTACAACTTTGTCATTTCACCTTCAGTTGTTGTTTTGCAGAAGACGGCAAATAAATGTACCAAGATTCAAAACGCAGGTGCAGAACCATTGTTCTGCTTATTAAGCCTTTTGTTTGGTGACGTTCTCATTGGCGTCACCGTCGTGGATTCCTAAAACTCCCTATTTCATTTAGTGGAACAACACATGGGTGATTTGTTGTCCTATGGGTACTGACAAAATTTACTAGTACAGATATAATTGGATGAGAAAGATTTAAATTCCCTTCAACAATTAAATCAGCCGTTTTTAGCAGTCGAATTTCACCAATGACAGTTTGCAGTATTGTTCAGATAGGTGTTTTGCTTTTGAAACATCTCTACGGCACCTGTCTGTGATGAAGTCTCAACACTTTTTACAATCACCTCTCAGGGTCTCAATATTTTCCAAGGAATTCTCAGAGAAAAACACTTGGCTAGT